GACATGGCTTAGATTCCCAGCCAATGAACCTCATGCACATCCACCACATGTCTGTGTGTTGCTATGATGCAGAACAGGTTTCAGCAGAGCTTCCAGACTAAAACAGACTAGGAAGAAAGGCCTAGTGATACCCTTCTGAGTATCATTCAGTGAAAACCCTATGGATCACAACGATCGCAGCCCGTCATGCATGCGGTCACCATGAGTCAGGGCCGACTTAATGGCAGCTAACAACAACAAGGCCCTATAGGCTTCACCTACTTTTATATTAATTTCTGGGCTCAGAGTTCCAGCATGTAGTAAGAATTCACACTCGTGCCCATGCACAGTGTAGCCTGGGATTCCGACTTCTCACAGAATCCACCCATAGTACAGGGCAGGTGGCAGCCTCGCAAGCTGATTTCCCAGGTCAGAAGATAGAAATTTTCTCATCCTATATTCACCCCAGCCCCTTACCTGGCTTTGTGCAGCATCCCTACAAACACAAGACCATAGCTAAAACTTCATCCCTTTTTGCGATGTAAATGACCCCTTTAGCACTGTGTTCCCTCTTGTTTTTTGACTAAAGGTCTACTGAATCTCAGTTCCATATCTAAAACATTCTTTCTTATATTTTTTTCAAGCATCATCAGAGTGTGTTAGAGTATGAGGAGGGGCTTCCTGAGTCAGCTCAAGTGCCTTCTTTTCTGGAGGTTTCCACAGGTTTTTTTTTTTTTTTTTTTCATTACTGTGAAATCCTTTTATACCAAAACCACTAAGACTTGGGGCTGAAGCAGCCATTGCACAGGCAGAGGCTAGAACCCAGCTGAGAATGCAGAACTCAGTGTTCAGTTTTTGACTTCCAAAATAGACAACAGCATATTTTATTGATAGAAAAAAAGAGAGAGATTTGTGTGTGCCAAAACCAGAGATTGTAGACTCAGAGAATAGAGTTCTCTCAACAAATCACAAACTACAAAGATATCAGTTATGACACGAGATATACAGAAATGGAAAATGGGGGGGGGGAATTAAGTAAACATTAAAGATATGCATTAAGGATGAGGCTGATTAAAGCTTGGAAGGGGCTTGAAATGGCCATTCCCAATGGTCTCAACAGAAGGGGCTGTGGAGCAAGGTTGGGGAGCAAGCCAGGTGATAGACATTCCAGATCAGCTGAAAGGAAATACAAAAGCAGAGGGGCTTAGGTCCTGCTTACAATTTACCTGGGAGAAGAGCATCCCCTCTAAAGGAGCCCTGCTGAGTAGAAATTGGGGTATGGTGTGTTTAGGTGGAAAAGGGGCCTCCAGAAGTGTTACAAGTCCCATGAGTCTGTGCATGATGTTGGGGCAATTGAGATGTTGTTATGGGGCCCTGTAGAGGAAACAAGTGTTAAGAGGACCATGGACCAGAAGCCACCTCAGGTCAGAAAGAGGAAGGCTCAGAGTGCATGGACCTCACCATGGAGGCTGTTTCAGGAACTGTGGACACCAGCAGCTGCCCACACTTCCCTGAGACAAGCAGAATCTGTCCCATTAGCGGCAGATGCAGCAGATACAGAACGTGATACTTAAAGACTAGGACAAAATTCCCTGGCAAAAGCCCATAAGGATTATAGAGAACAGCATACAGATAGGAAGCCTCTCCCCCAACTCCATGAGGACAGGGAGGGAGAGAGGAGAACAAAGAGGATGGGAGGATGGGGGGGGGGACAGTTAAGGCCTTCTTTGACTAGTACTGTTGTGCTAATCAAGCAGTTGGGGTCTCTGGGCCTGATAGTGTTTAATCTGACTCTTTCTTTCATGGAGATTTCCAGAGGTTCCTTGGAGATCTCCCTCTCCCATGCTGGGGATCTCTCACCTGCCCTGTCACAGGTAATGCCCACTCAGGATCGTCACTTACATCTTTCTCTTTGGCCCCTGGTTCTTGGCTGGTCCACTTCCACGCAGGCTCTTTCTATTGGGGTTCTATTGCCCCTCCAGATGGCTCTCTTGACAAAGTCCTTTTAACAAAGTCTTATGCCTAGTTCATGGAAAGCATGTACATTTACCTCTTCATTGGCAATGCAAGTTCTTCTCAACCAGTAGCAGTTCCTTTTCCGCTACCATCTTAAGCTGTTTCAGCAACACCTCTCCCTTTACATTTCTCAGTGTGAGCCAGGCACTGGTTCTCTACACCCCCCACCCCCAGCTGTAGGAACACACATCAAACTCCCTAAATGGTCCCAGTGAAGCCGCTCTCACCAGGCTTGAGTTGAGGGACAGGCACCCATCCAAAGACATTCTCTGCTGCCTCATCTCCAAATGTGAGCCTTTCTATGTCTTCAGTACTGATGAAGCTTTAAGAGTCCCAAAACTCATTTTCAGAAACTCCTTTGCAAATTCTGTACCTGGAAGATATTTTTCCAAAGGTTGATGATCCCCTCCAAGTGCTATGGGGACTGTGAGGATCCCAGGCTTTGTGTGAAGCTAGTGTGAATTCAGCTGTGTGTGGTGCCGGCAGGGGTGCAAGTGGTGGACAGAACTGAGTGACTTTGGCTACCTAACCTTCTCTAAACCTGGGATTCTGTACCACTTTCTCATTATAATACTTTGGCAAAACTGTTTCACCTTGCCAACGCTTAGTTTCTTCAGCTGTGAAATGCCCCACCTTCCGAGCAGGATGCTCTGAAATTAATGAGATAATGGATGAGTAATGTGCTGTACAAATATAATAATTATTTTGTCCCCTCCTACACCAGAGCCTGTCCTCCTCCCTCAGATCCTGGCCAAGTCATTCTCCATTACACCAGGCTGGTGCAGTGTCACCCTGGAGAGTAGGGCCACAGGGGCCTCAGAAAACCTGAACATGACATGGGAGAACAAGGGCCTCCCCAAGAATCTGGATCAGACAGGAACACTAGGACCGGACAGCAACTCCCGGACACTGACTCTGAGTCTGCCTGTGAGCCAGCATCTGAGCAGGCCCAATGCCAGCCTCACTTGTGTGGTCAGCAACTCTATAGACAAGAAAAATGCCACCTTACACTTGGGAGAATTCTGTTGTACTGAAGTAAATGCCCAGAAAGTTAATGAGATCAGCTCTAGGAAGACCACTTTCCCAGGAGTTTGGGGGTGGGCATTGTTCTTTCTTACCATCATCAGTAATGTGATATCCCAACCTTTCCAGCCCTTGGGACAATGCCAAGTAAGAAAACCCAGAGACAGTAAAAGTTGCCATGTGCCCGAGAAAAGGGGGGCGGGGGGAGAATCGGGACTTTTGGGAAGAGAAAACTATACCAGGCACTGACGTGTTCCTCTGCTCTGAATCCCACTTGAAGGGCCATTGAGTGGATGAGCAATCACATTTGCAATGACTGACCTCATGGAAACTAATATCAAGGGGAGAAGCTAGTCACTTATAATGTTAGAGAACTTTTCATAGTCAGAGTTGTCCAAAGATGGAATAGATGGCTTTGGGGCATAGTGAGTTCCCTTTCACTGGAGGTGTGTAAGCACAGATGCACAGTCATTTATTGGGACAGAATAGAGGTAGAATTCCATGATCTTTGAGTTTCCTTCCAACACGGACACTCTTCGATTCTAGGAAACTCCCACTGGCAATAGCACATGGGATTATTCTAAGCCCCAAGTCCCGATTTACTCAGACCCATCAAGTGAACTGGAGTCCCTGACATTGAATCAGCCTATTGAGGGAATGTGGTCAGTGCCAGGATCCAGTCACCCAGAAGCCTCTCACTCCCTGCTCTGCTTCTGACCCGACAGAGACAAGAACTCAATTTCTGTTCACATTACTGTCAACGATGCTAGCAAAAGGCCTTGTCCTCCTCGTGCTCTTTGGGAAGCTGGGCTTCCAGCTCGCCAAGATCAAGTTTGCTGCAGAAGAAAGGAAGTGAGAGATGCTCAAGCAGATTTGATGACTAGATTGGCACTTTGTTTTCTTTTTTGTGCTTTGTCAAGTTTTCTAACTCATAAATGACTGCCCTGGAAGGGAAAACACGTGCATAAGTTTTTCAATATTTTCTGTGTTGATTCCTTGAGGTTTTATATACCCATATAAATCAATGTCAGTAAATTGCATTTTCCAGAAATTGTCCTTTTTATTAAGATTTTTAACTTGAATAGATTTTCATTATATATTACATCCTCTTAGAAGGTGGGTTTTTTGCTTGTGTTTATTTGCTTTTTCTTCTTTGCTCCTTTAAATATGAGAGGATCTTGCCGAAATTCTAAGTGATAAATTAAGTGAAGATTCCAACTCAATACCTACGGATCCCATCAGCCAGTTCATAGTTTCTCTGTTGGATGCATTGACAAAGGCAGTTTGGTGGTTCAGCTGCTGGTATGTGAGGTATTTATGGGTGCCCTGTCCCTCCACTACCTCTGCTAAAGACTTGGAAATAAGGAAAATAAGAGTGAGTTTGTCTGGTGTCGGGGGATTTTTGATATTGACAGCAGTGGTATACAAGATCATTTCATAGAGATTCCAACTTGTGGACCAGGACAAGACTTAATCTCAAATATGAACATGACTAAAGAAAGAATATGCCAATCAAAAAGGAGTTGATAAGAATCAGAGCATAAAGACAGGTGAATGATAGAGACAAACAACGTGCTGTCAGACTGGCAGGAGAGCTCCACGCACCAGGTGGGTAAATCCTACTGTGGAGATAGAGAGTTCAGACTCTCCAAGACCAGTGGAATCTGCAGCAGCAACATCTGCCCATCTGTCCTGACTCCTGCTTACCAAGTAGCCCGCTGATACCTTGGCTTCCTGAGTGATTTAACTTTGGGAAGAGGATTCATTGATCAGGCCTATGGGACTATCCAGTCCAGAGGACAAGCATACTTCTTAGTGTAAATTAATAAATACACACTCTGTTTTTTTACATCAGTGTCTTATGAGGCTATTTGGCAAGATTTTGCATCCAAAAGTCAAGTCAGTTCTGGGCAAGAGATGAGATGGAGCTTCTGAGCTCGGCCTCAGAGTCTGAGGGACAGACCAAACCATGGTGAATTCCTCAAAGTAATACCAGTCTGTGGGCCTTGTCATTCATTCATTTCTTCACTCAACACTTTCTGGACTAAGTGTGAGGACATATTGAGAATTATCTTGGAAGATAAACTCTCAGCCTCTCCTTGCCATGTACATTCCCACTTGAATTTTATAAAGAGTCCATATGGACCAAAGGCTTCAGGTCTAAACCCTACTCATGCACCAGAAACATCTATTGAGTTTTTAAAATATAGACGATGCCCAGTTGGAGGATAGGATCCAGGCATTCATGCTTTTCAGCGATTTACAGACAGGATTTTCAAAGCCTTGATCAACAGCCACGATTATCAGCAGTTCACAGGGACTCTCCATTTGGATCAATTACACCAAAATTTTCATATTGCCTGCTCTGTCTAGAGAGATTCAGAGATGTTTATGGGTGGTTTCAATAAAAATCCTGAAGGAGTCATTTGAACACAATAGAAACTGAAAGGGGGAACATGGGTATAAATACTTCAATTGGTTTCCAAGAAGATAAGCTTCCTGTTAGCATAAATGTGGTTTAATCTTTCTGAAGCACATTCCAATCATGTCACTTCTCTGCTCAAAAATTTTAATAGATAATTTTTTTAAATGTTTTGGAAAACGTGATGATACAGAGAAAGTGACAGAGCCCTGAAGATGACTACTCTTAATTATTTGGCATAACAACTTTTAGACTTTCTTCATGACCACATCAACATATGGGTATATATTTTTATAAAACCAGAATAATACTATGCATACTTTTATGTAACACACTTAATATTCCATGAGAATCTTCCCAATTCAGTACATAAACATGTACCTTATCATTATTATATAAATATTATTCCATCATGTGGGTAGAATGTAATTTATTTAACTGTATAATGCAGTGGTCAAGAATTTAACTCCAAGGTCTGAATCCCAGTTCGGCCATTTATTACCTTTTTGACCTTGGGCAAGTTCATTAACTTATCAGCTATGCAGTTTCCTAGGAATAATAATGGTATCTACATATTACGTTTTGCAGCTTCCTCTGAGGTCTCATTTGCCCATAGTATTCAACAGCCCACATAAACGCACCTTCAAGTCCCTGTGCTATGGAGAAAAATAGAGCCAGGAGGAGTGATGAGGCTGCCAGGAGGAGGTTGTAGTTTTAAATAGGGAGCTGGGGTAGATCTCACTAAGAAGATAACATTGGTGCAAAGACATGAAAAAAGTGTGGATATGAGACACGAAGATACCTAAAGAAAAAGAATTCCAGGCAAAAGCAAAGGCCCTAAGGCAGGAGAATGACTGCTATGTTCAAGAAATAGAAAAAAGGCCAGCGTGGTCTAAAAGCAAGGTTTCAGCAGGTTGTGTTCCTATCTGGAAGCTCTAGGGGTGAATACATCTCCTGATCCTTCTGGTAGTTGGCAGAATCCAGTTCCATGCAGTTGCACAACTGAGGTCTTGGTTTTCTTGCTGCCTGTAGACTGAAGGCTGTTCCACCTTCTAGTGGCTGCCTCATTCCTTGGTTCATGACCCACTTCCTCCATCTTCAAAGCCAGCAACAGCAGGTGGAGTCCTTCTCACATTAAGTCTCTGACCCACCCTTTTGTCTTTTCTTCCTCTACTTTTAAGGACCTTTGTGATTAGACTGGGCCCACCTGTATAATCCAGGATAATCTTCCCATCAAAGGTCCTTAACCTTAATCATGTCTACAAAGTCCCTTCTGCCATGTAAGGCAACATATTTGCAGAATTCAAGAATCAGGATGTGGACATCTTTGGGGGCCATTGTTCTGCCTACTACAACATCAGAGACACTGAAGAGAGGAAATCTGAAAACTGAACCCTGGGACATAGAGGTGAGAGAAATGAGAAAGAAACCAGTAAATGAAACACAGGAGCACCCAGTGAGTAGAAGGAAAAGAACAGCGAGTGCTGGATGTGAGGTGAAGACAATGTTTTATGGAAGGAGTGACGGATGTGTCCATTACTGCAGAGAAGTTAAGGAGATGAAGACTGAGAGTTGACTATCGGATTTAGCAATCTGGGGTTCTTGGGAGACCTTGACAAGAGCAGTGTCATTGGAGAGCTGGGGGAAATGCAGGATTAGAGAGAATTCCAGAGAAAATGGGAGGGAGTTGGAAAGAGGAAATATAGAAAATGCTTTCAGATAATTTTGCTATAAATTGGAACAGAAAAATGAGACAGTACTAGAAGGGTCATAGGGTTCTTTTAATGAGAGAAGTTACAGTATGCTCGCATACTGATAAGAATAATCCAGTATAGATTTTTAAAAGCTAATGCAGGGAAGAACTTGTGGAGTGATGTCACTGCATAGCCAAGAGAGAGAATCTGGTGCTCAAGAGGAACACCGGGCTTACAGGAGCTGCGATTGTTCAAAGTCACAAGGGCAAAGGCAGAAGATAAGAGTTCAGATGCAGGGAGGTGGGTAGGTCTGGTGATGGAGCCTCTGGAAGTTCTTCTGATTACTTCTATATTGTCAGTGCAATAAAAGGCAAAGTAATCTGTTGACAATGAGGATAGGGAAGAAGAATTGGGGTTCAAGAAGAGACAAGACATGATCATTGTCATAGTTTCCTAGTGCTATTACAAAAGAAATACCACAAGTGGGAGGCTTTAAAGAAAAGAAATTTATTCTCTCACAGTTTAGGAGGTTAGAAGGCTGAATTCAGGGTATCAGCAATAGGTAATGGCTTGCTCAGTCTGTCAGGTCTTGGGGAAGATGTTTGTCTCTTTCTGCTTCTATTCCTCAGTTTCTTGGTGATCTTCATGTGCCGTCTATCTTCCTTGCTTCTGCATGCTTGTTTCTGTTTCTATGCTGCTCTTTATATCACTCAGAAGTAATTAGGTTTCAGACATACCCTATACTGGCATGACCGCATTAACGTAACCAAGAAAACCCTTTCCCAAATGGGATCAGATCACAGGTAAAGGGGTTAGTATTCCAACACATATTTCGGGGGACACAAAACCCCATTCTCTACTTAAGGAGAAATTCCTCTTTCAGCCATCAGCTCCATCAACAACCCAAGCTCAGCCGGAGCTGGAACACCTGACTCAGAAGCCTGGAGTACTTAGAAGAGAACGCAGCACTTTAATTGGGGGAAGGGACAGATAGGAACAGGCGGAGGATATTCTTATCTGAATATTCCCAAGATTCCAAGGTCTTCAGTGGCAATGTGGTGAAGGGGTAAGACAGGAACTTTAGACAAATCCAGTGTTGGATTTAAGATTTGCTCTGCCACCAGTTAGCCAGCAATTTCAGTAGCCTCACATAAAAATGGGGATAATAATCCCTACCATCAAAGGCCCTTTTAAGAATTCAAAGAAATATTTATAAAGTGCCTGGAACAAAATCTGGCCCTTATAGGCTCAGGAAAACATGATTTCCGTCCTCTGTTTTTTCCTGCCTTAGCTGGGGTGGAAAGGTCGCTTGGTAGTCACATTTTACACTGCTCCTGGGCTGATGAGTATTGATGTGCAGCCATGACTGGTCACCAGGCAAGCTGGGTGAGGAGATAGCATCACTCTCTCCCTCGTCTTTGTGCTCAGCCTGAGGAGAAGAGGTCAGAGACAGGGCCCTGTTATGAATCCTCCTCCTTCGCCCATCCCACCATACAGCAGGCTCCTAGCATTGCTTCATAATGCTCAAGCCCTTACAGAGACCCTGTTCAGAACTTTGCTTTCTGAGGTCAGAGATGGGGCAGCTGAGCTGAGCTGAGGTGAGAGGGGAACCAAGAGGAATCTAGGCCGCCATACAGGTCACAGCACCTCATGGTAGTAAAGTCAGCCCATCTCTAACACAGGAGCTGGGGCCTGAGAAAAGAGGAGAAGGCTGTGAGGAGGCGAGGACCCACAAGCAGAGAAGAACCCACATACCACAGGCTGCACCAGGTCCTCAGTCAATATGAGGCTGGAGGTGGGATAGGGAAGTCCCCACCTCTGACTTCTGGGCCACACAGGGTCATTGGTAGTCATTGTGTCCTCCGCTGCTTCCAAGCAGAGCCACCACTGAGACCACCTGCAGCCTCTGTGCTCCATGTCACTCTGCTGATCCTCTGTGGGAGTGGGAGGAAGACTGGCTCAGACCCTTCTCAGAGGTGTATGCTCTCCTTGGCACTGGCCCCCCATCACGCCACCATCTTCCTGATGGACCCCCAAATTAGGTTCAGCAAGGTAGATGCATGATGCCAATCCAGAGCAGACTATGGCAGGGCCCTTAAGTGATGTCCAAGGTGTCCGGAAAGGTCAGAAGTATGAGACGTCATTTACAAACTTTGGAATCCAGATAGGCCCCATGGAAACTATAGCTTGGGTAGGGTATTTGGGTAGGATGAGCTGGATTACAATAGGTAGGAGTGGGGGTGAAGAACAGGGAGAGGGAACCTCATTCCAGGCAAAGAATAGGCTTACCAAGTGTTTGGGCAGATGACCAATGTCCAGCATGGCAATAGGGGGCTGGGAGCGCAATAGAAGAGCCAGCTGGAGAGGGCTGGACCTGAACTTCCTACAGCCTTGAGGTGTTAGAGCCCATAGCAGCCCCACCATGGCAGAGAGGGCTGGGAAGTGGGTTGGGAGGACACTGCACATCTATTCTTTCCACTAAGTGCCCTATCCTGGGCCAGAGGAAGAGCTAGGGCTATTTATCTAAGATAAAAACCCCAACTCTGGCCTTCTGGAGTCATTCCCTGGGAAACAGAAGGCAGGGGAGGGCCTGGATATTACAAGTTCCTCTTCCTACTCTACAGAAAGGAAGGTTTGGGGCCCATGGGTGAGGCTAAGGCTTAGGTCCAGGTTAGTATAGGTAGCATAGATGAGGGCTCTGGCCCAGCTGTATAATATACACTACACAGCCCTCTAAACACACACACACACACACACACACACACACACACACACACACACACACACACACTGCCCACTACACCCAGGGAGCCTTAGAGAAGGTTGGCAAAGGAAGCCTTGGGCCAGTCCCTTTGTGGGCTCCCACCCACCCATGCTGTTTCCATCAACCCCCAACTCAGCATCCAGATCCGAGATCCTGACTCCCTCCTCGTGCCATGGTCAACACTTCTACACAGTCCTCATGCCTGGCATTGTGTTCTCAGAAAGACACATCCCAGTGATGCAGAAGAGGCTGTGGAAATTTGTCAGGTGCACACTAGGCAGGGGTCCTCTTTGGGAAGAGAGGAGAATATTTCAGGAGCCAGGTCAATGGCAAAAGAGAGCTCACTCCACAAGGTTGAGCATCCTGAGTGTTCAGGCAGCCTGGGGAAGGCTGGAGGGGAGAGGTGAACAGAGGAAGGCAGAGGGTCACATGTGTGCAGGGAGCTGTGGTCAGGAAGGTCAGGGTAGCACAGACCATGGGCCTCGGGAGCTGGATCACAGCTGGAAGTTCCAGTATCTTCGTGGTGACAGACTCAGGGTGGTGGTGTCCCAGGAGTTCCAGATTCTCCTGCCTCCTCTAGTTAAATGTTTATGGCCTGGCCTGGCTTCTGGACCTCACTGTAGACAGTAGCGAAGGTCTCCTTTTCTTCCATATGTTGCCCACGGATACCCTGGGAATGCAAAACAGAGGGTTCCTAGAACACCTGGGGTTAGGGTGGCAACCAAGGGACCCACATAGAACCAATGCCTGCTGACACCCACTGCTTAAGGTTCTCCCAGAGCATCAAGCAATATGCTGGCTCAAATTGCAAATTGTCTTAGTAAATACTGTTCATTGTCCTAGAACAGGAAAAGAGGTAGTGGGGCCAGAAACAACAGATTCTGGGGTTTGGAAAGCCCAGAGTGGGTAAGTGAGGGGCTTGGGACTGTCCAGGCTGGCCACCTCTCCCAGCTCTCACCTACTTCTTGCCCCTCAGAGACTCCTGCTGGCTCACCATTGTATAGTAGAGGTCACCATCATTGTCCCTGCAGTCCTCTTGCAAACGTGGACCTGAGCCACAGACGGAGAAGAATTTGACTGTGTGTCTTGGAAACCTGTGTCCCTCCTCCACTGCCATGAACTCCAAGGCCATGGTCACACCCCCCATCCCCTCTGCAGAGCTCCCTCCCCTTGCAGCAAGATGCAGGAGAGTCTAGTGGGGGAGAGTGTCTGATCCTGGAAGGAGAAGTGCAACCTGCCTCTTCCAGGCTCCATCTTCTTCTTCTTCGCACGTGTCTTCCAGAGGAACAGTCCAGCTCCCAGGGTCACCAGCACAGCCACAAAGGCCCCAAGGATGATTCCCAGGGAGTTATTCTTGTCGTTTTCTTTTTCCCCCACTACGAGAGAGTGAAGAAAGGTAAGGCAAGAGATAATCTGAGAAACCCATTGCCAAGAGGACTCAGAAAGAGAGCAGGTGGGGACTCTCGTGGGGCCTGGTTCAGAAGCTGAAGGAGGGAAAGCATAACAGGCACATTCATTCACCCAGTTATTGAGCTCCTGCTTGTTGCCAGGGATGCTGACAGGAATAAGGTGTGCTCTGCTCCCTCAAGGAGCCATCACTTTGCCCAACAGAGGGATCGCAGCTGTGATAGAAGTTTGTACCTTGTACACAGGTCTTCAGGGAGAGCTTCCCAGAGGAGGCGATATGTAAGCTGAGTCTTGAGGGAGGAGAAGGAGTTTCCCAGACGTTGAGGGTGGGTAAGGCATTCCAGGAAGGAGGAGCACCATATTCAGAAAATGGCTGTGTTGAAATGTCAGTCCCTTGGGCATGGCCAGCAGCCTGGTTGCAGCAGGCAGGAGGGGCACAGGACTCGAAGGAGCAGTAGGCATGGAGGATCAGAGAGAGGCAGAAGTCTGGTCTCAGAGGGTATTGTGGGTCATGTTAAGTGTTTGACTTCATCTGAGACTCCAGGATGTGGTAGGAGGGCTTTAAGTGATGGTATGACACCATCAGATCCCTCCAGTACCAGGTGGAAAGTGGATTAGAGAGGGCGGGGCTGCACATTGGATACCAGTTCATTCATTCATTCAATGAAACACTGATTCCAAGCACACTTTGGCCAAAAGCTGAGATACAAAGGAGAACAATATGTAGCCCCTGCTCTCAAAACCTTCTAGCCTGCAGAGCAGACAAACACAAAAAACAGATCATTCCTACTCAGCACAGGATGCACTGTGATTAAAGGAGGCCCAGAGCAGAGCTCTAGTCCCAATTGTGGGGTAGCCATAGTTGGCTCCTTAAAGGAGGTGATGGCCAAGGGCAGAACCAGCTACAGCACTGATGGGGCCCTGTGTGAAAAGAAACTGTGAAGCCCCTCATTTAAAAAGTATTAATTTTTAAAATTAAATTTAAATTAATTATATTTAAAATTTGAAGACATAAACCACAGAGCATTAAACCCAGTACAGGCACCTTCAGTACACAGCGCCCTGTGTTACTGTGCAGGTCTCATGCCCAGGAAAACAGACCTGGCAGTAGAGCATCCCTCAAGAGGAGGAAGAAGGAAGTGAAGGACATGGGGCCTGGAAGCTCTGGTGGTACACAACACATTCAGGGAACTCCAAGCAGTTAGGTATAAAACATGTGAGACTGGAAATATGGACAGAGAAGGGTTTACACCAGAATCCTACAGGGACTCACTGGAGGTCAGACACCACAGATCACACAGAGAAACAACACAATCAGGTTTGCTTTTAAAAGGACCTCTCTGGATCCACAATAGTTGATGTGTGGGGGAGGAAAAAATATAGGTAGGACCAAGCTGTGGGAAGGCACTGCCTGTAGCATCATGGACAAGGATTGAGCTGAGAGACATTTACAAGCAGAAACAATTTGGATGTGACTCCCAGGCATGCGTATGGGGTAATCAGGTGGAAGGTGGTGCTAGTACACATGTCGGAGAGTAAAGCATTGAGCCCCTCACACCCCAATGCCACAGGAATTCCAGAGTGCCTCTTCTTTCTGACATGTTCTACTCACCATGGACACAAACTTCTCCCAGGTCTAAGGTGGCATTTTTCTGGTCCTTGGGGTTGCTGACAACACAGGTGATGCTGGCATTGAGCTTGCTCTGGGGCTGGCTCAGGGGCAGGCTTACAGCCAGGGTCCAGGGGTCGGTGTCTGGTCGTGGTGTCTCTCTCTGCTCCAGGTCCTTGAGGAGGCCCTTGCTCTCCCAGATAATGTTCAGGTTCTCTGTAGCCCTTGCGGAGACGTTGCACTCCAGAGTGACATTGCACCAGCCATGTGTGGTGGACAAATACTTGGTCAGGACCTGGGGAAGGGGGATGGTCTCTGTGGTAGGAGGGGACAAAAGAAAGGAATTTAAGAAGTCAAAGACAATTCTGGTGAGAACTCAGAAGGAAGTGAGGAAAGTTGTTACACTGGAGACAGTACAGATGGTGAGAAGCAGCAGCAGAGAAACAGCAGCAGCAGAACCAGGAGACCAGCACAAGACAGGGCTAGAGCAGATCCACAGAGCAAGAGAGATGAGTGTCTTTACGCAGGCGGCTTCTGGGCGGAGTGGGATGCCTCCAGGCATTTAGCGGTGAAGCTAGGCTTGCCGACCCAGGGAGCAAGAGAGTTGAGTACCTTCCAGTCAAAGTTTACTGGCAGAGTGGGTACCTCTAGACACTTAGTGGTGGAGCTAAAGAGCTTTGGAACACTTGCCCCAGCAGGGCAGATGAGGATGGCGAGACCCAAGAGGCCATGAGGCCAAGGAATCAGGAAGCAGAAGCTAAAGAGACAAGGAACAGAGGAAGCAGAGCTGCCTCAGTCTTAAAGGTAAGGCCACGACCTCTGGGGTCTCAAACGTTTAACACTTAGATGGACTAGGAGAATGGGGCAGCCCAAATTCAAGGCAGCAGAATTGCCATTCCAGTGGACCTGGAGGCAGAGCTGAAGCCCAGGGCCAAGGGGTCTCCACTTAGAATCCAGAGAGTATGGTCAATACCTACAGTCTGTAAGGCAGGGCCATTGCCTAAATGGTCTCAGAGAACAGAGATTATTTTCAAGCCTTGAGGGCTAATGTAATGTGTTCTGCTGACTTGCTTGGTGCCTGTTATCCTTTCTTTCCCTCCAATTTCTCCCATTTGTAATGGAAATGTCTAGCTTGAGCCTGTTCCACCATTGTACTTTGGAAACAGATAACTGCATTCTAAATTTCACAGATGTAGAAGGATTTTTGGATTTTAGACTTAGAGTTGATTTAAGACTTTTGCTTTGATATGACAGGGTGAAAGTATTTTACACGTGGCAAGGACATGAATTTTTTGGGGCCAAAGGGTAGAATGTTATGGATTGAATTGTGTTTCCCAAAAATGTGTTCCAATTTGGCTAGGCCACGGTTCCCAGTACTGTGTGATTGTTCATCATTTTGTCATCAGATGGGATTTTCCCATGTGTTGTAAATCCTGCCTTTATGATGTTAATGAGGCAGGACTCTATCTACAAGATTAGATTGTTTCTTAAATCAATCTCTTCTGAGATATAAAAGAGATGAGTAAGCAGAGAGACAAGGGAATTTCACACCACCAAGAAAGCAATGCAGGGAACAGAGCATGTCCTTTGGACCCGGGGTTCCTGAGCTGAGAAGCTCCTAGACCAGGCCAAGATGGATGACAAGGACCTTCTCCTGGAATTGACAGAGAGAGAAAGCCTTCCCCTAGAGCTGGCACCCTGAATTTGGACTTCTAGCCTCCTAAACTATGAGGGAATAAATTTCTCTCTGTTAAAGCCATTCACTTGTGGTATTTCTCTTATAGCAGCACTGGTGTTCTCTGAGCTTCCTGGATCTGTGCTGTGATTTCTAGTTTTATAAAATTATCAGTGGTTGTTACTTCTAATATTTCTTCTGTTCCTTTTAGATGACTTAGATGGCTAAGACAGACTCTAATGGAAAAAGTGGAAAATATGTAAGAACAGATAGGTAATCTAAAAAAAAAATTGGAAGTCTAAAAAATATTCAGAAGTAAATGTAAAAAATCAAAACCATTGTCACAGAACAGAAGAATGCCTTTAATGGGCTCACTAGTAGATTGAAAGAATCAGTGTCCTTGAAGACACATCATTAGAAACTTCCCAAACTAAAAAGTAACGAGAGAAAAGACTGCAAAAAAAGAAGAACAGAATATCCAAGAATTGTGGGACAATTACAAAAGGTGTAATATATGCATAATGGGAATAACAGAAGAAGAAAGACAAAAAGGAATAGAAGAAATATTTGAAGTAACAACCACCGAGAATTTTCTAAAACTGGAAATCACACCACAGATCCAGAAAGCTCAGAGAACAAAAGCCAGAATAAATATCAAAAAGTCTACACCTAGGCATATAATATATTCAAAGTGCCAAAAATCAAGGACAAAAAGAAAATTTTGAAAGAAGTGAAATAAAAAAATATACTTTACCCATAAAATAACAAGGATAAAAATTACATCAGACTTCTCTTTAGAAACCATGCAAGCAAAAAGAGAATCAAGAGAAATATTTAGTGTTGAAAGAAAAAAACCACCAACCTAGAATTCTGTACCCACTGAAATTATCCCTCAAAAGTGAAGGAGAAATAAAGATTTTTTTTTAGAAAAATAAAAATGAGAGAATTTGATGTCACTGGACCTGCCTTGAAGAAATTATAAAAGACTTTCTTAAGACAGAAGGAAAATGACATAGATCAGAAACTCAAATTTACATAAAGAAAAGAAAAGCTTCCTAACAAGAATAAAGATAATAAAATCTTTTATATTCTCTTTCTTAACTGAGCTAGCAGATTAACATTTGTTTAAAATGACAGAAACAATATTTTAGATGATTTTAGCTTTTGGATGGGTGAAATGTATGACAGAAATGTGGTCACCAACAAGGGAAAGGAGAGAGGAATTGAGAATACTCTGTTATAGGTTACCTGTACTAAATGTGAAGTGGAATAGTGTTATTTGAAAGGGGACTTAGATTAATTATAAACATATATTGCAAACTCTAGGACAACCATTAAAAATATTTTTAAAGAAGTATAATTGATATGTTTCCATGAAAATGGAATCATACAGATTGCCTAGTTAAAACAAGGCAAGGCCAAAAAACGGAGGAGAGAGGACAAAGAAGGAAAGTAACAGATAGAAAACAGTAACAAATATGGTAGATATTAATTTTATTATATCAATAATCACTTTAAATGTGAATGGTTGAAATATAGCAGTTAAAAGACAGAGCACAGCAGAGTAGTTGGAAAAAAAAAAAAACCCAATATATGTTGTCTACAAGAAACTCACTTTAAATATAAAGAGATAGAGAGATATATACACTGCTGGCACTAATCAAAAGAAAGCTAGAATAGCTATATTAATTTCAAATAATGCAGATTTCAGAGTAAGGAAATTTATCAGGGATAAAGAGGAGTATTACATAATCAGTACATGGCCATTTCTCCAAAAAGACGTAACAATGCTTAATGTGATTGCACATAAAGACTATCAAAATACATGAGGCAAAAACTAGTAGAACTGCATGGAAAAGGAGAAAAATTCATTATTCTACTTGGAGATTTCAACATCCTTCTAGCAGTAATTGGCAGATCCAGCGAGCAGACAATAAGTAAGGATATAGTCCAACTGAATAGCACCATCGTTCAGCTGGATCTAATTGACATTTAGAGAGTGCTTCATCCAACAACAGTACAATACACATTCTTCTCAAGCTTACATGGAATGTTCACCAAGATAGACCACATCCTGGGCTATCCAACACACCTGAACAAATTTGAAACTATAGAAATTATACAAAGTATGCTCACAGATCACAATACAATAAAACTAGAAATCAATAACAAATATAGCTGGAAAATCTCAAAATATTTGGAGATTAAACAATGCACTTCTGAGTAACACATGAGTCAAAGAAGAAGTCTCGAGAGAAATTCAAAATATTTTGAACAAAGTGAAAATACAACTTACCAAAATTTGTGGGATGCAGCAAAAGCAGGGCTTAGAGGGAAATTTATAGCATTGAATGCACACAT